TTGGGAGGCCAAGGTGGGAGGATTGCTTGAGGTGAAATAAGAACAAAAGTACTGATGTCATTTCGAGGTCTAGGATATTAAGAAGGGATATGACTTTTCTGTCTTCTATTTTTTCACTTGCCAGAGTAGTACAAAAGGTTATAAGGCTCTAGAGGAATAACAATGCCACAAGATGGGAGGAACTTGGGTCTTTCAATCACCAAATGGAGAAGAGAAACGTACCAGGAATACCTACTTTGGAATGCTGTTTAAGTGAGAAATACACTTTTATTTTGTAAGGCTGCTGAAATTTGGAAATTGGTTCATAATATCTGCTCACATTACCTTAACTTACATAATCTGGGTGTTTTTATTCTGAAAAGATTTATACCTTTTTCATATGGTGGTCAGAAATACTAGGAGATCTCACTAGATGTTTTATGCTACATGATTCTAAGAATATCAGGGCTTCCATTATCTTTATATTCATCTACTTTTGCACCACTGAAAGAAATTGCCTTCTGACACATGGCTTTATAAAGTGGTGTGCACCTTTTTAAGGTTTTATTTTATTTTATTTTTGTCTGTTGCATGCAAGATGATTCTCTAACATAGTAATTAAGAAGGTGGCTCATTCCTGTAATCCCAGCACTTTGGGAGGCCGAGGCAGGTGGATCAGCTGAGGTTGGGAGTTCAAGACCAGCCTGATCAACATGGAGAAACCCTGTCTCTACTAAAAATACAGAATTAGCTGGCATGGTGGCACATATCTGTAACCCCAACTACTCCGGAAGCTGAGGCAGGAGAATCGCTTGAACCCAGCAGATGGAGGAGGTTATGGTGAGCTGAGATTGCGCCACTGCACTCCAACCTGGGCAACAAGAGTGAAACTCCATCTCAAACAAACAAACAAAAAAAAGGTGCATTTCCATGCAGTCCACAGCATTTCTATGTAAAGGCAAGAATGCCATCATCTTAACTTCTTGAGTTATTTTACAACATGCTTTTTGAAAGCCCCAGAACTTCCAGATGTTATGTCTGCTATATTTTTCTACACCAAAAGTTCTTTCTAATTTCTTCTGAAGATTTGATACACGGTCTAGTGTCATGATTTTGAACCTTGCAATGTTCTCTTCCAAGAATTTTGATTAAGTGTGATGTTCCTCTCACTTTCTATCTAGTTCTGAAATAAGAGCACAGTGGATCTCTGGCAGAGATCCCTCTATCCATGCAATAATAGTGTATCATGACAATTTTAGGAGAGGATAATCTGACTGTTACTCAGTTGTGGACTTTAGCTGTAATTGTATGTAAAGAAAGATTTCACTGGGTTTCACAGGTTCCAGATTTGAAAGTTAGTAAGTAGGGAAGAAGAGGAGCTGGAAACCCCATTAGCTGTTCTGAGGTGGGAGGGCCGTTGGATTCTATTTCTCTGACATTCAGAACTCTTCCTATAGTCTTTGCTTACATCAGGCTGAATAGAAGATGAAGGGGAGAATGGATTAGGTGACAGCAGCCAGGAATTTCCTTATATGCTTTTACACAGTGACTGAGTAAGCATGGGTTACTGTTCCTGGCACTGAGACTTAGCTGGTGCAAACAGGAAAGTGAGGAGCTTGTCCTGAGAATGGCAGGGGACACTGGTGGAGCTTGGCACAAAAGACTTAGAAAGCTAGTGGTTCTGCTGTGCCCTGGCAGTTTGTTTTGGCAGGTGTTCCTTGAGCAACTAAGATGACCTGCATGCTCCCTAAAACTGGTGCAGAGGGAATCTGTGCTCTTTCCTGCCTCCTTCAGGTTTATGAAGGGGCCACCTACTCATTATTTTAAAGTTTCAAATGTTTGACTCATGAATCTCTCATATAGAAGCATTTCCCACTGGTCCTACATGGCATGGGGGTTCATTAAAGCTGCAGAAAGAGGCAGACTGTTTGGCTGTTTCTTACAACTGGGCTAGAAGGCCACAGTGTGCTCATTTTGAGCATAAACTTGGAGGGTCTCCCAGCTGAAATGGAATCAAAGACTTCGGTGGCCTCAGGTTTGTTTACTTTTGGCATTGTCCAAGGTTTTCTGGCTCTCTGGTTGTTAGGGAGGCAAGAGATTCTGAATGGTCATGACCCAGAGTCAGGTTTAGCACTGGAAGAAATTATATGCAAGCAAGATTAGCAATATCCTGATCCTTTTCCCTGAAACACGCAGGGGTGAGGGCTGGACCAGCTGTCTAAGACATCCCCTGAAACCCCCAGTGCAGCTGGATTTCTTCTTCTTTGTGCCAACAGGGCCTATCATTATAAGATCATACTGCTTCAAGGCCATGTGACAAGCATACATTGGGGCAAATAATACGGTAAAGGAGAATGAAAAAGGAACTGCATTTTCTCTTGTTTCATTCTCTTTGAAGATATCCTGCAAGTGTTATGCTAAAATATGCCTTTGATTTGAATATAAATAGCCCCACTTTTCTAATCCAGATGCAGCCATGTGCCTCTCTGCACAGGGTTGGTGATTCTCTGTTGCGTCTTGGGAGTAATAAGAAGATTCCACTGGAAAAAATGCAGGCAAATCAGCCCAGCTGAGATTACATAAAGGAGGAAGGAAAATTGGAGAAAGTGTGTAATAAACCTCAATATCTAGTTGAGTGTGATTTTTAACAAAAGGCTTTTGCGTTTAGCTCAATGACTTAGGATCTTCAGATAGTGAGTTGTTACTATAGGCAAGACAATTCTTCTGGAAATAAGTAAGTTGCTAAAACCAGAGGCTTAGGGGTGGATTTCAGCTCCTTGGTGATTTGTATTTAGAATTTCGGAGGCTTGGGTCTTGCTAATAAGTGACTGGGCATCTTATGGGGAAGTTCTACTTTACAGATCTAGGAGAGGGACCTCTTCTTTTGAAAGATCTTGTGAATTTTTATCCTAAGTTTTGCCTCTGCTATAGCCTCACCTGCACTATTCTTTGATTCCAAAGCTTGCCAATGTGTTTTGTATTTATCTTCTGCTTTGCTTCTCCAATGCTACCCATAAGTCTTTTTCTCCTGCCCTTAGATATTTTGGCCTTGTAGAGAAACATTTCCCAAATACATTCTCATTAGATCTATGAGATGCTGCACAATAAAAGACTTCATGGTCAATTGAGATTGAGAAATGATGCATACTACACACCTTTCTTGGAAATTTGTAATGCACTTTTTAATAGGTGCTAAAGGAAAGTTATTTACACTTATTTAAGTACATATATATATATATGTTTATTTAATAGCAACATGTTTATTAGGCTCCCAAGAATTAGTACTTCTCAGAATTTTCTTTGGGCATTTCTACTATAATGTCCACAAACTGCAAAACCTGTCTAGACTACTAGACATGCAAGTTACTGAGAAATGGTCATGGATCATCAAACCCTCCGAAAAGGCTCTTTTGAAGGCAAAGGATGGTATGAGCCAATCCTATAAATAGAAATGAAAGGAATAAAATGTTCTGTAAAGCATAGACTGGCTAGAATAAGCTGGATTGGCTGCTGTCCATTAGGGAGAGGTGCTGAAACAGAGATTTCCCCTGGTGCTATTAAAAAATGGATTTCCAGCAGAGCTCTTAAAAAGTAACTCCTCAGGCCGGGCGCGGTGGCACACGCCTGTAATCCCAGTACTTTGGGAGGCCAAGGCGGGCAGATCACGAGGTCAGGAGATCGAGACCATCCTGGCTAACACAGTGAAACCCCGTCTCTACTAAAAATACAAAAAATTAGCCGGGCGTGGTGGTGGGCACCTGTAGTCCCGAGGCTGAGGCAGGAGAATGGTGTGAACCTGGGAGGCGGAGCTTGCAGTGAGCCAAGATCGTGCCACTGCACTCCAGCCTGGGCGACAGAGTGAGACTCCCTCTCAAAAAAGTAATGCTCAGAAAGTGCTGCATGAGACATCTAGATACAAACCTAGGGTAGCAAAACTGCACAAGGGACAACATGGGGAAAAAGGTACATACTGGACAATGAATTAACAGAAATAGGGTTTGATTTCACTATTCCCAGTAACTGGGTGTGTGAGCCTGGACAAGCCATTTAGTCTCTCCATGTCTTATTTGTAAAATAAGATAATTGGATGGGATGCAAGTTCATTCAAAGTTCTAAACGTCATAATCCATAATGACTTTCTAAGTAGGTCTTTATGTGAGCACAAGAGAAATCAAACCAATGTGTGTTTGCCCCAGGCCCCTGGGCTTCTCTGGTCCCTTTTATTTGGGAGGTGATACGCTTCACAACTATATGTGTTGCACTAATTCATAAAGGTATTCCATCCCAAGTCAATAACAAACTATAGCTTTGTGAAAGGAGTGAGTCCAATATGTTACAATCATCTTGGAAGCTTCAGTTACCTCTATTGAGAGGAAGGTTCTTTTTCTAAGGAGGCTGCTTTGAATCATGTTCTCAGCAAACATTTAATTAATAAGTACCTATTAATATTATGTACTAGACTCTGTTCTAGGCACTTGGGATACTTTGGATGTGTGTGTGGAGGAGAAACACAAAAGATAAAATTTCTCTACTCTCATGGAGTTTATATTCTAGTAAAAAGAGACAGATAATAAACATTAAGCCTAATAAATAATGTATATAGCAAAGTGTACATTATATAGTATGTTAGAAGATGATAAATACTACTGACAAGAAAAAAGAACAAGTGTAAGGAGGCATGGAGAATTTTAATTATAAATTGGGTAGTTAGTGTAAGCCTCATTGGGAAAGGGATCTTTGGGCAAAGACCCGAACAAGGTGAAAGAGTGAACACATGCCTGTCTAGAGGAAGAAAGACGCAGGCAGAGAAAACATCCAGTGCAGAGGAAGAGGATGCCTGGCAGCTTCCAGGAACAGGGAGGGGACCTGTGAAGCTGGAGTGATGTGAGTAAGTGAATGTGTCACAAAGGGGAAGTCCCAGCTGCTTTGTCCTGCTGGGACAAAGACCCACTGAACATACTTAGGACAAATTTCATGTTCATCAGCAGCATAACCTGATTTTAGACTCCTTTTTCTTGTAGGAAGCCTCCTATCAGACTCTCTGCCTGGCCTGAGATATCCAGTTAACACCTGCAATTCAGAATACCCTCTCACCCAGCAATAAAGCATCCAGCCTTTGCATCTGTAACAACCTCCTCTGTAATTTGTGCATTCTATGGTGAGTTTAAATGCTGACTCTATCATTATCTGAGTTTATTACCATTGCTATTTGCATATGTTTAATGGGGGAGGGGAAGAGTGGGGAGAAAACCTCTGCACAGATTGCAGCTTGGAAGTCTGCGTGTCTCTCCTCACCCTTACTTCCCCTTCCTGTCCCCTTCTCTTCTAATCCTCTGCCTTCTTTGGGGCCTGGGCCAGGGCCAGGGCCAGCCGTACTTAAACTAAGAATAGGTAAATGTTCTCAGTAGCCCTGTTGCCCTCTGCTGTGTCTGCCTACTCCCCTGTTCCTGCTGTGCATCTCTCCCAGCACTCCTGACTTTCAACGACTCAGTGCAGTACAGTGAACCTGTCTCCCTTCCTGCCCCATGAACCATCAATACTGGTTCTCAATTAGGAAACGATAAATGTGCTCACATTAATTTGTCTAGAGGTTATCTCTTTTGGGGTGGGGTTTTGTTTTGTGACAGAGGGTATAGAAGCATTAGGGAGGATTATCAGAGTCCTGGAACCCTGAAAATTATTACCAGATATTAGGCAGGCACCTATTCAGAGAGTCAAACCCTGGCCTCTGCTGCCCACTCATCTCCCAGCTCAACTTCACCTGTTTTCCCTAAATTACCTTTCTGCACAGGAATTCACTGTCTTTTCTTGTTGGAAGGGTTGGCTAGGAAAACTTCTGTACGTTGTAAGATCTATAGTGAAATGTTAGCATGAGCCTCTGAATTGTTCTTGGGAGCCAGGAAGCAGCCCAAGCCCCAAGGGAGGGGAGGAATAAATTGTTGCCCAGTGGCCAGCAACTTGTTTTATTTTACAAGACTGTGTTTTCCATATTGCTTGCATTTTGAAATAGTGTGCACAGGTGCCCCAGTTTGATTCAATTTCAGCCCTCACCATGATTTATGGTCCCACCTGATCACATCCAGATCACTTTGCTGTTTGCCCTTGTCTGCTGCGCTGCAGTTCATGAGTGGGGAGCTAGAGCCAGACATTTTAAGGATTCCGAGTGAACAAGCATGTCTGTTTCTCCCTCAAATTTTTACCCATGTAGGATTTAACATAATCAACAATGAGTCCAATCTGCATTTCTTTGAAAAGAGGCACTGCCAGCCTTCAGAGAATATTAAACTGAATGGAAAGATTACAGTTGTTAGAGATGCAAAACCCTTGAAAGAGCTAAAATGAGTAAAATGGCATTTTATAACCCATTTATGGCCTTGTGTATCCATATTCTTGCCATCACTACCCTCATTACCACCATCACCATCATCATGTTAATATAGTAGCCATCAGTTATTGCATACTCATTATTTTGTCATTTTGACAAATATTTTATGAGAATAGACTTCTTAAAATCTGAACCATCTTAAGAAGATACTGTTATTATCCCCATATTACAAATTTTTTAAAAACAGAAATATTGAGAGGTTTAGTAACTTGCCCAAGGTCAAATAGCCACAAGTCTGTATAATTAAATAAAAATAAATAGTTAAAATGTGTATGTACAAATAAAGATGGCTTTCTAGGTAGTAATTCACTCTAGGCAAGATTAAGAAGGCTTCTTGTTGGGCAGAACACCGTGTACGTTACCAATGCTAGGTCAGGACTCCAACTGTTAATACGTGGAAGGTAGCAAAGATCACCATGATGTTGGCTACCAGGAATAGAAGTTCAAATACTTTTACCCGCTGCTTCTTGGTATTGTAGTCACCAAGGAAACATAATACAGTCAAGCATGGATGGAACAATGCTTTAATCACATAGAGAAGAGAAAGAACAAGATCAGCTCCAATAGTATGTGTTGGTCCCCCATGGATAGTGGATCCCCCTAGCAGCCTAACTGGGGCAATTGGGTCATGAGCTGTCCTCACAATCTTAATAGGAGGACATGTACCCCTTCCATGTGTACTCTGAAATACTGAAACCTGGGGGCATGCCTGAGGGCCATTGACTTACATGCATAAGCAGAACAAAGAAGCATATATTGAGCTTGAAACAGTGAAAGCTATTCCCATACAAGGTAATAATGCTTGCACAGGCTGTGTGAGCTCTTTATCTCCTGGTAAGGAAGGGTTCCAGATCCAAGACACATTCTTATGTGGCTACTGGGAGGTGCAAAGACTGCATGCAGGAGACTGTCTTGCCAACATTTATTTAGGTAGCAAGCTTTTCTGGTGCCTTCATGTAGGATTTTGCCACATGTTAACTACTCAGAAACACATCTCCTGCTTAAATAAGCCATCCCTGAATCACCCTTAGCCCAACCTCTCCTCTCTCTTTGTTGGGTCTTTTTCTCTATTGTATCCCAATACTATTGTATCCCAATAGTGACATGTGCCTGGCTCCTGGGTAGGTGCCTATGGACAAAGAATGCAAAGATTTCCTTGTTGGTGAATCTAAATGCCACTTCCTCTGGGAAGCATCCTTATCACCAAGCCATAGTACTCCTTTCTCTGTGCCTGCAATGCACATTGTTTCTAGTTCAAGTACTAGTACTGTAGTATTAATAATACATGCTATGTTAATATCATTAATAATACTGCTTGAATAGCCCTAACAGCCCTTAGTCCCTTGTTCCCTATTTACTCTTCCCAATAGCCCTGCAAGGTAGGTACTATTGCTATCCTCATTATACAGGTGAGGAACTGAGGCATAGAGGAAGAGTAACTTGCTCAAGATCATCCAGCTAGTAAGTGGCAGAGCCAGGATCATGGATCCAGGCAGTTTGGTGCCAGCATTCAGGCCCTAATCACATTCCTCCCTCAGTGGTTGGCTTTACTGTTTTTCACTTGTCAGTTTTCTTTTTTCTTTCTTTTTTTTTTTTTTTATTATACTTTAAGTTCTAGGGTACATGTGGATAATGTGCAGGTTTGTTACATATGTATACCTGTGCCATGTTGGCGTGCTGCACCCATCAACTCGTCAGCACCCATCAACTCATCATTTACATCAGGTATAACTCCCAATGCCATCCCTCCCCTCTCCCCCCTCGCCGTGATAGGCCCTGGTGTGTGATGTTCCCCTTCCCGAGTCCAAGTGATCTCATTGTTCAGTTCCCACCTATGAGTGAGAACATGCGGTGTTTGGTTTTCTGTTCTTGTGATAGTTTGCTGAGAATGATGGTTTCCAGCTGCATCCATGTCCCTACAAAGGACACAAACTCATCCTTTTTTATGGCTGCATAGTATTCCATGGTGTATATGTGCCACATTTTCTTAATCCAGTCTGTCACTGATGGACATTTGGGTTGATTCCAAATCTTGCTATTGTGAATAGTACCACAATAAACATACGTGTGCATGTGTTTTTATAGCAGCATGATTTATAATCCTTTGGGTATATACCCAGTAATGGGATGGCTGGGTCATATGGTACTTCTAGTTCTAGATCCTTGAGGAATCGCCATACTGTTTTCCATAATGGTTGAACTAGTTTACAATCCCTCCAACAGTGTACAAGTGTTCCTATTTCTCCACATCCTCTCCAGCACCTGTTGTTTCCTGACTTTTTAATGACTGCCATTCTAACTGGTGTGAGATGGTATCTCATTGTGGTTTTGATTTGCATTTCTCTGATGGCCAGTGATGATGAGCATTTTTTCATGTGTCTGTTGGCTGTATGAATGTCTTCTTTTGAGAACTGTCTGTTCATATCCTTTGCCCACTTTTCGATGGGGTTGTTTTTTTCTTGTAAATTTTTTTGAGTTCTTTGTAGGTTCTGGATATTAGCCCTTTGTCAGATGAGTAGATTGCAAAATTTTTCTCCCATTCTGTAGGTTGCCTGTTCACTCTGATGGTAGTTTCTTTTGCTGTACAGAAGCTCTTTAGTTTAATTAGATCCCATTTGTCAATTTTGGCTTTTGTTGCCTGATTAGGTTGCCACCTCAAAGGCGGGGTTTGAGACTTGCACATATCTTCGTCCTCAGCTCCCGGCCGATTGCCTGGCACCTAGCAGTCACTCAGGAATTATTTGGCATGGGACTGAATGAAAGATAGGTGTTCACTGGGTAAGGACTTGGGGGCAGCTCACCCAGGATTTTTTCATTGCTTTAAGGCACTTAACTGCTAACTGGACCCTTTGTTTCAGGGCAGACAGAGTGATAGAGGCACAGGAAGTATTGAAGGACAGGCTTTGCCTGCCTCGTTTTATCCTAATCGGTTAGTTCACATCTTCTTTGACACTGTCCTTGTTTTCAGAAGAGAAAGGGATTTAGGGTGCGTCTTACCTTTAAAAGGAGGCTTTTTTCCATTTGCTTCTACAGAACTGTGCTGGTTTTTTCCCACTGGGATTGCATTTATCTCACCCCCATTTATTCTCCATTAATATCTCCACAGTGGCAATTATTACCCCTCATCCATGCCTGTGTGTGTCTGCCTGCCTTCCCCACCTCCACCCTGACTGTGAACTTCTTGAGGCAATGACCTCAAGAAGAATGACTTGTCCTAGTCATCTTGTATCTTGTCCAGCACAGGGCCTGGCCCACCAGAAGCCCTCAAACCATGCTTCTTAAATGAAAAATGCTTAGTCATTGGTAGATCTGTGGTGCAGGAAAGTACAGGAATGAAGTAATTATCCAGCTTTTTTTTTTTTTTTTTTGTAAAAGAAGAGACTGATCTTTGGCTCAAGGAACCAATAATCATTTAGGACTCGTTTCTCATCATCTTTCCTCTCTCTTTCCCTCCAGCTCTTGTCATTTGATAAGTGATGCAGAAAAATTCTTCTCTCAGGATTGGATAAGAGAGACTGAAAAGGTAGTTGGACTGGGTGGGGGGCAGGGAGTTGGAGGAAACATAAAACAATAAAGATGATTTAATTTATATCTGATCACAGCAACCAGCTGGCTATACCATCAGTTATTACACCCTAGTAGTTATTAAAGAGCACCTCTATCATAGGCACCTTATTAGCTAGGGATTTATGGAGCACACAGGTACAGGAGGAAATATTGATATTTCACTCACAACATCACCTGTGGATGCCTGGGTTGTCTGTCTCTCAGTC